TAAATATTTATGGAATTCTTTGTTTCCTTCCAATATGCCCTCAAATATATATAAACTATGCCCCAGATATTGCATGAGACATTATTATTATATTAAAAATTATTTGTTGCTCACCTGAAACTCAAATTTAACAGGTCACCCTGCATTTAATCTGGCAACCCTATCTCCACTGAAACTGTACTTGTTGAAATCAAGGGGAGTGATATTTAGCTCACTTCCCTGAATTCGTTATACATGTGTTCACATTCTTCTTTGAGTTAATAGAATTCTGCAGCTCCCGCGGGAATAAGTAGGTACACTTCTTTCCCCTAATTCTTTAATTTGACAGGATCCTAAGAAATGTAACTTTAGTGACTTTGGGACTTTATGGGATCTTCCATTCTTTCATGTTAGTCAAACCATGAAGTTCTTAAGGAGACTTAAATTTGTATTTGCCTATTTTGCATGGCTTTGCCTAACTCAAGATTGAAACTTAGTCTTTTTGCTGTTTCCTTTGAGTCAGAAAATACTTCCTCATCGATTATTTTAAATTATTAATTTCTATCCTCATCAATATTGTAAAGTAGTCCATAATACCAATGTGTTTGAATAACAAGAATCAACAGAACTACTTCTCATTCTGGAAGAGATTCCAATGGCCATTCTTTTATTATTAGTTTTACTGTTTATTTTTGAGAGACACAGACAGACAGACAGAGACAGACAGACAGACAGAAGGTGAGTCAGGGAGGGGCAGAGAAGACGCACAGAATCCAAAGCAGGCTCCAGGCTGTCAGCACAGAGCCTGACGTGGGGCTTGAACTTATGACCTTGAGTTCATGACCTGAGGTGAAGTCAGACACATAACCAACTGACTGAGCCACCCAGGTGCCCCTCCAATGGCCATTCTTTTAGAATACTTGATACCAACTTTTTTATTTTTGTTAATCATTGTAGACTCTGGCTTTTTAGACTAAATATATGACAATCAACCTCAGCCAATATTCTCTTTGATGCTCAAATTGTCACTATTTTGGCCAATGTGAACTCATTTTAGGTTGATCCTTATGTCATTTCAATATAACCTCATTAAATATGAAAGCTTTTGGTACAACAAAATTGGCAGGCTCACCTTATTTTTCTCTTTGTAAAACTAGCTATTTCTCCAAGGAACACTGGTGCAGGGTTAAGGGAAAAGAAAAATATTCATCTCGGGGTTCCCGTTATTTCTGGGTAGTTGCTCATGGACAGAAATTTAAAAAGATAGGTATTAAATTTTTCTTATTGTGAAGAAATGAGTTAATATTCATACTGCCAACCCAGTTTTACTTAAATTCTTAATCCCACAACTATACTCCTTCCTTTACCTTTTACTGGAATACCATCTTCATTCTTTAAAAATGTTTGAGGGGCGCCTGGGTGGCGCAGTCGGTTAAGCGTCCGACTTCAGCCAGGTCACAATCTCGCGGTCCGGGAGTTCGAGCCCCGCGTCAGGCTCTGGGCTGATGGCTCAGAGCCTGGAGCCTGTTTCCGATTCTGTGTCTCCCTCTCTCTCTGCCCCTCCCCCGTTCATGCTCTGTCTCTCTCTGTCCCAAAAATAAATAAACGTTGAAAAAAAAAAATTAAAAAAAAAAAATGTTTGAGAGTGCAGGCACCTGTACACACACGCACAGTGAGCAGGGCAGGGGCAGAGAGAGAGGGACAAAGAGAGAAACTCAAGCAGGCTCCCCGCTATCAGTGCAGAGCCCCTGGGGCTCGATCCCGCTCATCTCGAGATCATGACCTGAGTGGAAATCAAGAGTTGGATGCTTAACCGACTGAGCCACTCAGGAGCCCCTAATTTGTTATTATTTAAATAAATGCCATTAAAAATAAAGTACTGGGAAAATACTATGAAAAGTATATATAAAAAATTTGAGGGGCACGTGGGTGGCTCAGTCAATTAAGCTTCTGACTCTTGATTTTGACTCAGGTCATGATCTCATGGTCATAGGACCAAGCCCTGTGTCAGGCTCTGTGCTGGGTGTGGAGCCTGATTGAGATTCTCTCTCTCCCTTTCTCTCTGCCCCTCCCCTGCTCGCACTTGCTATCAAAAAAATTTTTTTAGAAATATTCTAACACATGACAGAAAAGGTCCTAAGGTTTTTAACATATAAAGAGCTTTCATAAATCAAGAAGACAAAGACGAACAACTCAACAGAAACAAGACAAAGAATACAAGGAGACATTTCACAAAAAGAAAAGCAACTGGCCAATAAAGATAAGAAAAACACATGTTCACCATCACACATTTTAAAAATTAAAATGAGATATTTTCTATTAGCTTGGTATAAATTTAAAGTTTATATATATATACCTTTAACAAGTTATATATTTAAGGTACATAACATGGTAAATTTTGTGTATTTTACAACTTTAAAAAGTTGGAAAAAATGATTGAAATGTGTGTATTGGCTGATATCACAAATGTAGTATTAGAGTCAAAATTGGCTTATTCATCTAAAATCATGTTTTTGTATCATACACTTTATTAATTTTTTTTAATGTTTATTTATTTTTTTTTTCCAACGTTTTTTTTTATTTATTTTTTTATTTTTGGGACAGAGAGAGACAGAGCATGAACGGGGGAGGGGCAGAGAGAGAGGGAGACACAGAATCGGAAACAGGCTCCAGGCTCTGAGCCATCAACCCAGAGCCTGACGCGGGGCTCGAACTCCCGGACCGCGAGATCGTGACCTGGCTGAAGTCGGACGCTTAACCGACTGCGCCACCCAGGCGCCCCTATTTTTAAGAGAGCAATAGAGCGTGAGTGGGGGAGGGGCAGACAGGGGGAGACACAGAATCTGAAGCAGGCTCCCGGCTCTGAGCTGTCAGCAGAGAGACCGATGCAGGGCTTGAATTAATGAACCGTAAGTTCATGACCTGACGTTTAACCAACTGCGCCAGTCACCCAGGTGCCCTTTGTATCATATACTTGAACTGTATTTTAAGTCACTGTAGGTAGACTAGCTGGGGTAAAATTAAGCCATTACATAGAAATGTGGAGACCACTGTGTTATTTCCTATCTCAAGATAGGTATCACCTTTCTCTCTCCTAGTAGTGGACAGTCTCCACCAAAGAGAAGGGCTGCAAGAGCTGCTGCCCTGATTCCAGGCTAGCCCTTAAGAGATTATTCTAGAAGAATGGATAAAGTCACAACGTGTTTCCTGGGATGCACAAAGCTGTCACCTCATCAGCATATATACATTCTATTGGTGTAACTGAGTCCCCTCGATTCATCAGATCACCGTGTTTGGGGAGACAAAGGGTTGGAAGGACTGCTGCCCACAAATGCCAGGGGTAAGACTGCCAGGTAAGATGCAGAATGCCCGGGGAGATTTGAATTTCAGATACACACTGAATAAATTTTTTAGTAGAAGTATGCCCCAAATGTTATTTATCTAGAATCCAAATGTAAGTCCTATAAGTTTAGCTGTGTGATATGGGGGGTGGTATGCTCACAAGCACCTTCAGACCAAGACAGTCTGAAAGCCCCCTGGTGGCAGTGTTCTTCCTGGCCCACCAGGATTCAACCACTCTCCTAGAGCCAAGCAGGCACTCCACCTAACCATAGGTGGGCACTGAGACTCGAGCAGAGCTCCCGTATTCCCAGTTTCTCCCATTTGTTAGCTTGTTCTGTTCAGTAGATTTGAGCTGTAGTTCCCTACAGAAGCCCATTATTGGCTTTTCTCCCCCCTTCCCTTCCTGCTCCCTCATACCTGGCTTTCTTGAATCACCTCCCTAAATAAACTCTAGGCCTTCAAGTCCTTGTATCAGACTGTTTTAGGGAAATCCAAACTGTTAACAGTCAGTGCTGGAAGTGGCCCTAGAAACCGAGCCATCAGGATGAGACTTTGGGACAGGTCACTCACTGGTCAGATGGCTAGTAAGAGGAGCCTGGTAACGAGTGCAGTAGTGATAACCCTGGCATGCTATACCATGGAATTACCGAGATTCTCACTAGTTCTAGTAAGAGATGAGGTACAGGTAGAAGGGGAAGCATTAGCTTCTGGAATAGTCCCAGAACTTGAACATTACTGGGATAGTGGCAATTATTAGGACCGCGGAGTTTCTCAAGCTTTGAAGAAAGAAAATTATAGGCTTAGTTCAGCCAACTATCACTTCAGGAGAAAATTATAGGCTTAGTTCAGCCAACTATCACTTCAGGGCATGTTGTGGAAGCCAAAGTCACCCATGGGAGGGATCAGTGATCCCATCTGCAGCGAGAGCAGACTGGCCTGAAAACCAGGCACACGGTTTATTGCGAGGGGGTCAGAACTGCAAAGAAAGCTAAACGCAAAACCATGCCAAGTCATTTATGCCAAAATTCTGGGCCCTGATTGGGAAAGATTCAGATCCTGATGCATGGGACATCTGGGTAGGTGTGTCTGAGGACCTCAAACCCCAAATTCCCCAGAACCCTCCAGCCTAACAGACACATCTCCCTTCCCCCCCTGCTGTAAGAGAGTAGCTTCTTTGTGCTTGGAGACTGTGCAAAAATCTCACCTGACGACAGTCAGGGAACAGACAGTATGGGCTAGAAGGAATCCTGTTGTATATTATTGACTTGCAGAGTTTAGAAGGAAGTTTCAGAGTCAGATTTTCAGACTTCGGTAGAGGCAGAATATATATACACAATCAAAATGCACACGAGGCTGATGAATGTTTCCAGTGATGAAAAAATGTGTCCAGTGTGCAGAAAAAAAAATTAAGCGCAACACAGCCCAAGAGGCAGGTACTCTAGCTGCTCTACCCTGACTTCCCAATACGCACCTTCACAAGCACTGAAAGTTCTAATGACCTCAAATCCAAATTTTCCAAGAGCTACAACCAGGCAGGAACAGTTTCCTCTCTCTAGAATAGTGTTCAATAACCGACATACCATTTATTTGAACAGTCCTGAGGCATTACAAGATGTTACAAGTTTATTCCAAATCAGATTAAATTGTGCTCAGGTGGCTCAATTCTTTACAAATCATACTTCTTGAATATATGTTAAAACAGTTAAACAGTTTCAGTGTTTCTTCCTTAATTATATTGGATATACTCAGTTTAACTATAGAAAAGGCAATGCCGGCCTGGTTCAGGAGACCCCAAGTGTGGTGGGGGACCCCGTCCCAGCGAGCTGGCCAGTGGGCAGTGAGTACCCTGATGCCCTCCAGGACCTCCTTCCCACTGTGCCAACACCCAAGCACTCATTCCTCAGGCACCCTTGACGTTGAGTGAAACAAAATCTACCACTAGAGTTTATAGCGCAATTACTAGGCTTCTCCCTAGGATCCGTATGCTAAAACTTGAAAAATCAAAAACCACTCAGAGAGCATGCTCAACACTTAAAGCACTTCTCCCTCTCCAGTGTGGACCCTCTGATGTTTGGAAAGATTGGACTTACTACAGAAGGTTTTTCCACAATGATTACACCAATAGGGCTTCTCCCCAGTATGGATTCTATGATGTTTATTAAAATTTGAGCTGTGGTTGAAGGCCTTCCCACACTCCTTACATTTATATGGCTTCTCTCCAGTGTGGAGTCTCTGGTGTGAACTAAGACCCGCGTGCTGACTAAAGCTCTTCCCGCACTCGTTACACTGGTAAGGTTTCTCCCCAGTGTGTATCCGGTAGTGTCGAATGAGGCTGCCTTTACCACTGAAAGCTTTCCCACAATCTTTACACTGATATGGTGCCTCTTCAGTGTGCATTCGCTGATGTTTAAGGAGGTCTGAGCTCTGACCAAAGGCTTTCCCACACTTACAGTCATAGGGCCGGTCCACCAAGTGTGTTCTGTAATGAAGGGTGAGGTTTGAACTGTGGCTGAAAGCTTTCCCACATTTGGTGCACACATATGGTTTCTCCCCAGTGTGTGTTCTCCGGTGTTTAGTAAGATTTGAGCTATTACTAAAGGCCTTTCCACACTCGGCACAAATGTAACGCCTCTCCCCTGGGGTAGGTTTAGCGGGAATCAATTCTCTGCCTTTCTTAGAACCTTTGTCTAGGAGAGGAGTTTTTGTTCCTCTTTCCTTTTCAAGGTTTACCCACTGCCTTTCTAACCTGGACTCACATTTACTGGCAATAATCACAGGAATAATATCCCTTTTGAATTCTTGAGATTCTTCAGAACTTTTCTGCTTCTCTGTTGATTCCTCATTCTGGGTGTTCGATTTATGATCTGAAACAATAAGTAGAAAAAGAACATGTCAGTTGTGTTGTGTTCTGAGAAGCAACTGTTAAAGGAGAAATTGAAATGTCAGATGATGTGGATGGGTTTTATTTTTATTTATTTATTTATTTTTTTTTAATTTTTTTTTTTCAACGTTAATTTATTTTTGGGACAGAGAGAGACAGAGCATGAACGGGGGAGGGGCAGAGAGAGAGGGAGACACAGAATCGGAAACAGGCTCCAGGCTCCGAGCCATCAGCCCAGAGCCCGACGCGGGGCTCGAACTCACGGACCGCGAGATCGTGACCTGGCTGAAGTCGGACGCTTAACCAACTGCGCCACCCAGGCGCCCCTGTGGATGGGTTTTAAAGGGTGACCAAGTATCGCTCTGTGAGAGGTCACAGTATCACAGATACACAAAGTCACCATCAGATCTAGTATACGGTACCAGGCTTTCACACAAGGCCACGACTAGTAGTTGTTAGGATATAACGAGTACACAGCCTCCTCTGCCAGGAGAGGATCTTCACAAAAAGAGGGCAGTAAGGCAAAAACCAGGCTGCTGGGACAGCAACGAAGGAGATGGTGATGCCCAGGCGGAAAGAAACAAGTAAGAAGTATTACTGAATGGTTGAAGTTGATTAAGGAAAATAAAAAGGGTAATAAAGGAGACCAGGCTAGTGGCAAACTCACCTTCTCACAGAAGTGGAAAAGCAACAAAAGAGGACATTCGGTCCATATTCGATCATTCTAGTCCTAGATCATTATTCATTTAAATGAAAGTGCTAACCTCCCATTAGAGTTTGACTCTCATCATGTAACCTACAGTGGCTATGTCTTACAATTCTTTTAGTTCTAAAGTTAATACTCCTGAAATTATATTGAAGCAATATATCTTCTTTAGAGCACTGCACTAGGCAGCAACACTTACAAGTCCATCTAATCTGTCCACATACATGGAAAAGGGGACTAAGAGAAATCCACACTGAACCACGGGCTTCCTGTGAGAACTGTCAGCCCTCCATGAGTACAAGAGCCTCAATCAACAAGGTACTTTCCTCTCAGCCCCTTCCCTGGTCCCTGGCTCTCTCTCTCCACTCAACCCATCTATTTCCTTCCACGTTCACCCCCTACTTCCTGTCTGCTGGGGACCCCAGCAGCAGTAGATAAAAGTCCCTTTCATTCTCTGTGACGAGCAGTCACACTTGGCTACATGTACAGATTTTCCCTAAAGTTGCCATGTACTATGTGTGGGAAATAAGTAACTAATACATAAGCTAAAAAAATTTTTTTTAAGTTTATTTACTTATTTTGAGAGAGAGGCAGAGAGAGAGAGGGAAAGAATCCCAAGCAAGCTCCATGCTGTTAGCACAGAGCCTGATTCAGGGCTCGATCTCATGAAGTGTGAGACCATGACCTGAGCTGAAATGAAGAGTCAGATGCTTAACCAAATGAGCCACCCACATGCCTCTAAGCTAAAAATTTTAAATAGCCTTATGAACTGGAAGCTGAAAAGAATTTACCAGGGACCATTTCTGCATAATCCAATGCTCATGTTAACAGGTTCACCCAATTATTAACAATATTAACAAATAAACAAGCATCATCTCTTACTGGTCATTCAACCTGTCACACCTCTGTGAACAGTCTCCTTTTTTACATTTTTAAAATGTTTATTTATTTTGAAAGAGAGAGAGAGAGAGGGAGGGAGAGAGGGAGAGAAAGCACTACTGGGGAGAGGCAGAGAGAGAGAATCCCAAGCAGGCTCCTCACTGCCACCACAGAGTCCAACGTGGGGCCTGATCCCATGAATCATGAAATCATGACCTGAGCTAAAATCAAGAGTGGGGGACGGACTGAGCCACCCAGGGGCCCCGAACAGTCCCTTTTTTAAACTCACTTCAACCCACCCTTTCAAGAGAAGAGGATGTCATGTTCCCTTGCTAGGACTCTGGCTGAGATGCACCTAGGGATGAAAGGCACTCAGGCACTCATTCTGCCTCCGCAGCCAGACCAAGCAAGTCAGTCTAGGGCACTGCCTTGCAACCGGGAATTAGAATTATTCTGTTTCTTTCACCACAAAGGCCCGGGGCACCAAGCAGGTGGCATGACAGACAGCCCCTACCTTGACTCTGTTTCAGCTCTGGAGTGAAATCCTGCTCTTCCCCAGTCTCCTGAATGTACAAGGGCTCCCAAGCTTCGCATCTGTGACTGGTCTCCACAGACTGGGGCTGCACACTGCTTGGAAACTTTGCCGTTCCTGAAGAGGACCTCTTCTCCCACATCTGTTTCTGCTCATTTGGAGGCGGTGAGGCCTAGAGACAATGAGGAATGATGGAGTTTATGCACAGCTCACCTTGGAACTACAATGGGTCTGAACTACCCAGGTCCACTTAAACACGCATCTCTTTTTTGAGACATACAATACAGTAAATGTGTCTCTTATGATTTTAAGGCTTTCCTTTCTCTAGCTTACTTTATTACAAGAATGTAGTATAGAATACATATAACATACAAAGTAAGTGTTAATTGACTATGTTATTGGTAAGGTTTCTGGTCAACAGTAGACTATTTAGAAGTTTCAGGGGAATCCAAAGTTATATTGGGATCCTCAAATGCACATGTCCTGGGGAGGCGGGGCTGACACCCCTAACCTCTGTGTGGTTCAAGGGTCAACTGCAGAATGAAAGAACACCAGGAGAGCTAATATACAACCTCTAAGGGAAAAAAAAAGGAACCCATCCATCTCATTCAACTCCCATAGCTAAAGATCAATACTGGACAGTAGAAAAAATACAGGAGGAAACACAGTGTAAGTCAGCAGAAACTTCCATTCAGCTACTCTCATTGGATGGACAAACCCAGCCTGCCCCGAATGCTATGCTCTCAATCTCATAGCAGAAAAGGTCTCCCCAGCCTACCTGCTGCCCTGGCTCGTCCAGTTCTCGCTCCAGATCTTCTAGGAGAGTGACGGCCTCTTCAGCGCTCTCCGGGCAGTGCTCCTGCACCCAGGCCTGGAGCTCCTGGGGCAGGATGCTCAGGAACTGCTCCAGCACCAGCAGCTCCAGGATCTGCTCCTTGGTGTGGATCTCGGGCCTCAGCCACTCACAGCAGAGCACCCGGAGCTGGCTCAGGGCCTCCCGGGGGCCAGGTGTGTCATGGTACCCAAACTGCCGGAAGCGCTGGCGGAACACCTCCAGGCTAGGAAGGCACTTCCCTTCCTCTTCCTCATCTTTAACCACCACAGGCCCCCTCTCCCGTGGAGGCCGAGGAACCCGAACTGCAGCCATGCCTAAAACCTTGGTCATCACACAGATTCCAGAAACAGCCTCACTACGGATGGGACTATGTGGAGCAGGAATAGTGGTTCCTTTGGGTTTCTGGATCTTTAGGGCTACACGTTAAACCTGAGAAAATATGGTTACCATAAATTACAAAAAGAAAAAAAGGATGCTTTTTAGGTCTTTACAGCCACACTGTCAGCACAACAAATTGTGGAAATTATGGCCACCACAGAACTATCACATAAAAATAATTGTCCAAAATCATTCAAGAGTCAGCTCAGGATATCCTACTTCAATTTTACTGTCTCCACTCTGATAAAAAGTACACTATGGCATAATTTTAAAATTAAATTTATTATTTTTAAAAATTTTAATTTGTACATAATTTTTTTTTAATTTGAGAGAGAGAGAGAGAGAGACTGAACACAGTGGGGAGAGGAACAGAGGGAGAGAGAATCTCAAGCAGGCTCAATGCTCAGTGTGGAGCCCAATGTGGGGCTGGATCCCACAACACTGGGATCATATGTTAGCTCAGCTGAGATCAACAGTGGGATGCTCAACCAACTGAGCCACCCAGGGACCCCTAAAATTAAATTTAAATTAACTTTGCTCTAAAACCTGTTTCAGAATCTTACAACTCCTGAGACTTCAACAGGATACCTACAGGCCAACTGCAGCCTGTCTAAATCCAAGACTTTGAGATTCAACATTAAAAATTTGTTAGTCAAGGGCACCTAGCTGGCTCAGCCGGTGGAGCATGTGACTCTTGGTCTCAGGGTCATGACTTCGGGCCCCATGTTGGGCGTAGAGCCTACTTAAAAAAGACAAGTGAATGACAAATTAAACTAAAAGTAACCTATATTCTTACAGAGGTATTTATTTTGATGAGATATGTATTGTTGAGAATAGGTAAAAATTAAGTCATAGCAAATGATACAAAAAAATGCTTAAAGTATTTTTCTTTTAAATACTAAATATTCTAATTATCTGTCAGTCGATACATTAGAACACCAAAAACATCTGTAGTAAATATAATTACTTCTTTTTCCCTCACTTGCCCAAAAAATGAAGTCCCTTCACTCAACATTGACTTGAATACCTGCCACGGGCTTTGAGCTGGGACTGCAGTGATGAGTAAGACAGATGTGCTCTCACCCCCACAGGGCTTTCAAGTCTGTGGGGGAGATGGAAAGTATAGGAGTAAACAGACAACAGAATCAGACTATACAATTAGTGGCATTCATGAAGTATACTCTGAAAGAAACCTGCATGAATTAACCTTACATGCTTGTGACTGGCTTTCCTAAGCATGTTTCCAAACTTTAGGCAGCATCTGTCAGGTCACGTAGACGTCCCATTCTGGGTTTGGACAACTGAGAGCAGGACAACTCCAGCAGTCTCAGTGAAGAGCCAAACGGATAAAAATCTACACAGGTTTTCGTTACATGAAATGATAATGGTAACAAGGAGAGAGACCATAAAAAAGATGTACAAATAGCTTGCAGAAGATGAGAAAATAGAGGTGTCAAAGATAACCTAAATCTAAGGCATTTGAAAACTTCGGTATGAAAAAAATAAAAACGAAAATAAAAACTTGAGTATGCTGATGGCTGACATGCACATCCACCTCTGGCCTGATGTCACTCTAAGTGGCAAGTCTCACATACATCTCCATAATCACAACAAAGGAAAAAGGATAAAACACAAACAGTGATATTGCTGGGTTATAGATGAATTCAATTTTTTAAATTCTTTTCTTCATTTTCTAAATTTTCTACAATGGGTATTATTACTTTTATATCAGAAAATCTTTAAGGACAAACCAAATTGGTTTTACTACTAATCCAACAACTTCATGGACTTCCAAACAAACAAACAAAAAAGCAATCACAGACCATGCAGAACGCCCCCAACAAATGCACATCTATGTTAACAGCTTTTGTTTTTTTAAGTTTTTTATTTTACTAATCCCTACCCCCAATGTGGGGCTCGAACTCATAACCCTGAGATCAAGTTGCACGCTCCAGCTAAGTCAGCCAGGTGTCCCTAGTATGTTACTTAAGTATTACTTTCACACATTTAATAAACACACATTAAAAACATACATTTTCTATGACTGCTCTCCACTGATTTTTGTGACCAATTCTGATAATTTTATTTTTTATTTATGTTTAATTCTAGTAATTCTAAAAAATATAAAATGGGATCCTACGACTAGAACCTCAATATATAACTTTTCATGAAAATTTCAATAATTATCAGCTACTAATTAGTTGAGACTTCTAGGGATGCCGGTACTTGGGATTCCTCTCCACTGTACCCCAAATCTGAAGCATCCTAGGAGATATCAACAGGTGTCTTGACAGGGTGGACCCAAATCAGCAGCACGTACTCTCTCATGCTGCTCTGCACATCCAATACACTTCTGGAGCTCCCAAGTTCAGAATAACTTGAAAAAAGCCAGGAGAGAAGCACACCATCTAGTTTCCTAAATAAAGGCACTAGCACAAAAGGCTAAAATGACCTTAAAATAACAGATGGAATAGTGCTGGGAGCATTCATTTGAAATGCTTAAAAGTAGATCTCTGCAGTGCTGAAATACCTTCTCATAACTGGTTACAAAATTTCACACTCCACTCACAGAAGTGCATACCTAGAATAGGAAATACATTGGAATCTGTTTGGGTTGCTCAGCTTCTGGGATCAAGCCTGGGAAACTCAGCAAGGCACAAGGGAGGAATTACTTAGCACAGGTGGCATTCAACAGGAAGTGACCTGTATCAGATTCATGTGGATCTGTTCCCAGAATGGCATATCCAATCTCACAGATCACATAACTACCTCTGCAAAGCATGTACATAGTCACATTTAAAGAAAAAAAAGGTGGAGTGCCTAGTTGGCTCAGCCGGTAGAGCATGCGACTCTTGACCTCGGGGTTGTGAGCTCGAGACCTACATTGTATGTGGAGATTATGTTAAAAACAAAAAAAAATTCTTAAGAAGAAAAAGTTTCCCTTGGATGCTGCCCACAACTCAAATCCGTGTCTTTGCAAGACCTCAAATGAGTGGAGGGATAGGCGCTTGGACCACTTCATCCCTGCTGCATTCATTCTCCCCAGAGATTTCATCCAGTCACATGGCTCTAATTACCATCCACGTACTCCCAACCACCAATTAATCTCCAGCCCAGAGCTCTCTTTTGAACTCTAGACTCATGTGACCAACTACGTACTTGATGGTTAATGGCGATTCCATCATTCTGTTTTCTTGGAACAAAAAACCTGGTTATCCCAGACTCCTTCTCATTCTACATATAATTCATAAGCGAATCCTGTGAGCTCTACGTCCAAAAGATCCAATGTTCAACCAATTCGCACTACCTCCAGTACTGCATCCCAGCCCCTCCCCTACTTGCCTGGAGTATTGCAAGAGCCTCCTAAGTGCTTCCACCCCTGCCCCTGGGTCTAGTGCCAACAAGCAGCCAGAGCAACCCTGTTAACATACAAGTCAGGTCATACCATTCTTCTGCTCATGCCTTTCGAGGCAGTGTCTCCTAGAGTAAAGGGCAAGGTCATCACAATGGCCAGCAAGGCCTCATGAGGTCTCAGCTCTGTTGCCCGTCTGACTTCGTCTTCTACTTCTCTCTTGTTCATTGACCCCAACCACATTGTCCCTTGAACACGTGAGGCAAGCTTCCCCCCTCAGAGCATGGCGTTCCCTCTGCGGAATGCTTCCTCCAGATTATATATGGCTGGCTCCTTCAGGTCTGTACTATGTTCTCGCCAAGGCATCCCTGACCCCATATTTTAAACTGCACACAACTATTGCTCATCCCAGAACTCCTTATGCTAATTTACTCTCTTCCACATCACTTACCTCCATACATATACTATATATTTTACCTTTTTTTTTTTTAAAACCGCCTGTTTCCTTCTTGAATACCAACTCCTGAGGGCAGAGACTTTCATCCGTTTTCTTCACTGCTATATTCCAAACATCTACAATACACCTGGTATTTTGCAGGTACTCAAATATCTGTGGGAAGAATGAATGTGATATATGGATCTTTGGGTGTACTCATGGAATAAAAGCTGTAAAATCAGGCTTAAAAAAAATATCAGTACAGGGGTGCCTGGGTGGCTTAGTCAGTTAAGTGTCTCACTTCGGCTCAGGTCATAATCTCACCATTCATGAGTTCGAGCCCTGTGTCGGGCTCTGTGCTGACAGCTCAGAGCCTGGAGCCTGCTTCAGATTCTTTATCTCCCCCCCCA